TATCAGAAGAATAACCATTGTTAGGTAATAACCCAGGACATACGGTACGAACATTTGAGCAGGAGGGCTTGCCTAGGGTTTCATGTCCAGTTTGGGGTTGGGGAAAGTTTATGCTTCTTTTTTGTTTTTACATGAGATTCCTGAATTCATTCCATCAAAGCTTTTCCCTCCACGAATCCAGAAAGATTTCATGGACAGTCTGCCATCAGGCTGAAATGACAACAAAATCTGGATGAGCACACCATTTCCCTAACAGATTCACATGAACTCTTTTTAAAATTATTATCTCCAAGTCTGTGGCAATATTTTCTAGTCAATTGCAGTTATAAATAATTTACCAACTACAAAGGAGCAGTCTGTATCGCCTGATTTATTTTAAATCCACGGCCTAAGGAAACAGAAGAGAACTTTCCGTCGGATTACCTGGCATAAAACGTGTGTGCTTGGGATTTAAGTGATATTTTTTCCCTCGCATGCAAATATTGAATGCTTTGCCTGAGAGAAAGCATTTACAAACCTTTACAAAGCCCTTGGAGTTTGGATGGTGAGACTTGTGGCCCAGGCACATCCGAGAGCAATGGGCAGCCAGCATCAACTACTAGACGTCTGTGTAACCAATCTCAGACCAAGAGCACCCAACCAACCCAATGGCTAACCGCAAAATTGCCCAGTGAACCCATAGACTTGGGAATAATAATAAAAACTTAAGTTCCTACATTTTGGGGTGGTTTATTACACAGCAGAAACTAATTAATGCATCCTCCAATAACTTAGTTTATATCAATCTAGGGGCTTTTGTCAGTCCCTATTTGCTTCAATGTCTCTGTCTGATTTGAGGTCATCTGTTCTGCTGAAAAATCTTTAAAATGGATGCTTATGGGGGTGTTCCATTGTGGTCTTACTTAAAACAAGAGTTATCTTAAGTGACTCCTTGGAGATCTTCATTTACCTAGGCATCTCTATTGATGTGGAAGGAAAGAGGCCATCTCCGTAAATCAGGAACATGGTGTTAGAATGCGGTTTCTCCATCTACTCGTTGGTTATCTGGCTAAACCTTGCGACCAGCAATGACCCAGCTCTGGTAGAATAAACACAGCCAATTGAAGGTTAATGTTGGGAAGCAGGCCCGCGTGACCTGTCGTAGTCACAGAGTTAATCAGAGAAGCAGAATCAGTAGGATGATTGTGTGCATATTTTTATATGATTTTGATTTTTAAATACACATACACACACACTCATAGAAAGAAAGAGAAAGAGAGAGTGACTGAGAGAGAGAGATTGTGGAGGCTGGCAAGTCCAAAATCTTCAGGGTAGATTAGAAGGCTGGAGACCTCGGGAAGAGTTGATGTGTTGCGGTTCCAGTCCAAAGGCTGGCAAAATTCCTGGAGGAGGTGAGTCTTTTTCCCATTAAGACTTTCAACTGATCAGATTCAGTCCACCCACATTATGGAGGGTGCTGCTTTACTTAAAGTCTACTGATTTAATGTTAATCACATCTAAAAAATATCTTCCCAGTAACACCTAGATAATCATGGACCAGATATTTAGGTACCAACTAGGCCTAGCCAAGTTGACACATAAAATTAACTATCACATTACTGTTGCTGCTGATTGGATGAGTAGACAAAGCTACTATCCTTGAAAGTCACCATTGTTTCTGACCCAGTAGTCACTGTCCAGGACTCAGTAGCCAGATATAGCAGATTTCAAAACGGTTCTGATCTCGGCAGATCTGCTTTGCTAACCTGCAAAACATTTATTGTATTTGCTTCCCTCTTTATTTCTCATTGATTGATCCTGGAGGAGTGAGAAGTTTCCTCTATCAGCAAAGTTATCTAAATTAGTAAAAATTTACATAAACCACAAGCATTGTAGTGATAGTGTCAGGGTTTGCAAAGATGTCTTGAGAGTCCAGTTTCTTTTTAAATTATAGTCAGAATTACAGCAACACCACCAAGAAGGAATAAATGTGTCCGAGATAGAAAATGTGATTTCACAGTCCTTTGTTTACAGGTTTTAAAAGTCTTTGTCAGTTATGCAAAAAGCTTCTAAAAGTAGGACTAAAAACATGGGACACAAAAACTGGAACAAAACAAATGAATGTGGTTAATAACAGATATGTGGGCTCAAGGATATTAACATACATAAAAATTCATCATGAGAAATAATTACATTCCCTATTGTGGCCCACCCTCTAATTCTCCTGGGCCCTGAAAAATAATGGGAAGGTTAACACATTTCTCACATTTCTAAGCATGTTATTATTTCTTGCTTACACAAAAATTGCATAAAAGCAATCATCTGGAATCTGGGAGTAGATGACATATACTAGACTCGGATAAAAGCTTAACCAAAATAGAAAAGCAATCTGGCATTGCTGACAATATTGTCACAAAAATATTACATCTTATGAAGGGAATTTCTGAATTCAATAACAACATGTTTAGCAGCTAAATGGAGTCATTTGCATATTGTGGCAAAGTAAAAATACAATAATGTGATTTTTTGCTATCTAATAGGATTTCCTAGGGCTGGATTGCTGGGAAGCACAGTCTGATCCTTGCAGTCTGCCCTTTGCTTTTTGTTCATTTTCCTCCCTCTGGGCTTCTTCTTCACCAATTCTTTTTCTCCCTTTCTTGCTCTACCTTTATTTTCATTCTTATTTTCCAGGTTTGTTTGTTTGTTTTAGAGACAGAGTCTTTCTCTGTGGCCCGGGTTGGAGTGCAGTAGCATGATCACAGCTCACTGCAACTTCCACCTCCCGGGTTCAACAATTCTCCTGCCTCAGCCTCCCAAGTAGCTGGGACTACAGGTGCATGCCACCACGCCTGGCTAATTTTTTGTATGTTAGTAGAAATGGGGTTTCACTGTGTTGCCCAGGCTGGTCTCAAACTCCTGAGCTCAGGCAATCCTCTCGCCTTGGCCTCCCAAAGTGGTAGGATTGCAGGTGTGAGCCACCGTGCCTTGCCTTCATTCATCTTTTTTATCCTGCACTCCTTCATTTATTCCTTTCCATCATTTTCTTATTCACTAGAAGAAATTCCAACTGACTGCCATTAACCTATTCCTAAGTATTAGCAGAGGAAATGAACACTCATTTCTCATCATTTTCCTTATTAGACTTTCTTTTACCTGCAAGTCTGCCATAATTATTGTGGTCATTATTGCTGTTATTTTCCTGGCCACCTCTTTCTAGGCCAGGTCATGAGAATTGGTGGACTGGGCCATTTCCTAGGAGGTACAGAAAAATCACACCAAATTCCAGAAAAAAGACAATAGTATAATTACGAAAGCATGTGTGTTCGTGTGTGTGCACATATGAATTTTGATTATTATTTCATCTTCTTTTGCTTGCATTATTTGGATAAATGCCTTAAATGATCAGGATTAGAATGGCATGGTGGTTGCGAGACGGGGCTCTGAAATTAGCTCATCTGGGTTCAACTTCATGCTCTCCTATGTATTAGTCTGAGCCTGTAAAAACTTGATTTTTCTGCTCTTCAGTTTCCTTATCTATGCAGTCAGAATAATTATAGAACAGAATTTACAGTACTGCTATGAAGATTCAGTAAGATAATGAACTTAAAACATTAACACATTGCCTGGTACACAGTGGACACAGCAAAGGTGACTCTCACCCCACAAACCTTGGTGTATGGGAAATAGCACATTTCTTTACTTGTGAATAAATTAGCCTCTCATTAGTTTGTAATTCCATCTCACATACTGTATTTGGGACATAAATTCCCTCAGGGTCTTTTTAAGGTTCTGAGCGTACATGATGAGCCAATGTGCTGATGGTGGCCCCTGGTCATTACCATCTGGCTCCGCCAAGTACCTGCTGGTGCAGCCATTGTCCCTCCCACCCTTAGCTCTCAAGGTCAGGTTCCTCTTTGAATACGGAATCTTGGGAGATGCTAGGAACCCCTGTCCCTATGATCCCACTTTTGCCAATTCTTTCTCTGAGGTGTCACCCTCTCAAAGGGAGAAGGTAGGCATATCATCATTCTGTCATCCATATACCTCACTCCTCTTTAGTCTTGGGAAATGTATCTTTATCTTTTTTTTTTTTTTAATCAGGATCAAGCATTTCTCTGCCTCCTGCTTCTTCCAAGTCCTGGTTCTCTTCTATAGCTCTGCCAATGCTCTTTTCTCTTCTCTTAGCCTATTGAAAACAAGACGAAGACATCTTACGAGCACAGTGAGCCTTTCAGCCTTCCAGAGACCAGCCAAGAAGCAATAAAGCACAGAGCTTTCTTTCTGTTTAAGTGCCTGGGGAGGGCAGAAAGACCCCAGTAGTATTAGTACAGCAGAAAGAAAAAGAAAATACATGGGGAAACCCCAGAAATCAATTTCTAAATGTTATCTGCTATATAAGTGTTATTCAAATATTAGAGATTTTTTTAAACACCTTGCTGAAACCGAACTTGGCCTGATTACTACTTTTCTCTTGGCATTATATTACATACCTTCAGTCTTAGTTCATTTTCTGTTGCTATAACAGAATGCCAGAGAAAGATGTTTATTTGGTTTTTGATTCTGGAGTCTGGGAAGTGCAAGATCAGACAGCCACATCTGCTTCACTTCTGGTGAGGGTCTTGTACAGCATCATAACATGGCAGAACAGGAAGTATACATTCAAAAAGGACAAAACCTGAGACATGACCTCACTTTATAAAAACCTGCTGTCTTGAGAACTAACCCAGTCTTGTGAGAAAGACATTAATTCATCTTAATGGCCTAATCACCTCTTGAAGGCCCCACCTTCCAACGTGGTTACATTGCCAATTAAATTTTAACACATGTTTTGGAGAGGACAAACCACATTCAAACCATAACACTTCCCTTCTGAAAACATCATCTTCTTTGCTATGACTCAGCCATCTTCTAGATACCTCCTATATCCCTGGGTGATACTTCTGATTATTTCATGGAATCTTCTACAATCTGTGTCATAATGTTCCTTGGGCTTCCAGATCCTGCTCTGGGATCTCTTCTTTTCTTACCCTACCCATTCCCCTTGGAAATTGTATCTACTCCTTATGTACTTATCATTGATATTCTGATGACTTCCATATCTATTCTTCAACTCTGTGGTACCTTGCAAAGCCTAGACAGAAATATTTATTGCTCCTTCTGTCAAGAGGTGGAGTTGATTTCTCCAATTATTGAATCTGGCTGCCTTTGAGACTTGCTTTGGAGAATAAAATGCAGAAGCGATGCTGTGCCAGTCCTGAGCTTGGACCTCAAGTTGTTTTGCACACATATGCTTTTGTTCTTGGAACACCTTATCCTAGCCCAGTGAACAAACTGGGCTGAGCTGATAATAAATGACACCCCCTTCACCCTTTCTGTCTATGAGGCCCTCTGAAAACAGCTTGTCCTCTGATGACCCATTAGTTAACTGGTAGGTTTATAAACTAGCTTATCCCACATTAGCCAGCCTGGTCCAGATCCACAGAAACACCTAGATAACTTGAAGTTATGAGCAATAATAAAGCATGCTGTGTTAAGACACTAACTTTTTGGGGGGGGGGGTGGCTTGTCACACAACAAATGTTAATTCAATCAAGCTCAAACATGTCTTCTGAGCTCCCTGTCTCACAAAGCCAGTGGCCCCCGGACATCTCCACCCACATGTCCTAAATTCAGCATGTCCAAAACTGATCCCAGCACTCTTCCTCATCTCCAGTCCATACCCACTTCCGAGCAGAGCTGCTTCTCCTTTCGTCTTTTTTTCTCTTGTCAAACAAACTCTCATCTACTCAGAAACCTGGGCAGCATCCCCACCTCCAATTCCTTTCCCTCCGTATTTAACCCGTCACTAAAAGCAGTCGATTCTACTTTCAAATAGCTCTCCTACTTCCCTCCACCTCCACAATTTTTTTCCTGTGGTATAGACGACTGTTACCTCTAGCCTGGATTTCTCAAGTCTCCAAAGTCATTTTTCTCCCTGGATGCTTGCCTTAACTTCCATGTTTTATTTCACAGGATATTTTCAAAATATAATTTTAATCATGTGAATCATCTGAACAAATTTCTGTCACGGCTCAAATTCTGTCATAATGTCCATGAGCTTCTGCTTGACTCACAGCCTTGACTTTAACCCTTGTATAATTGGGAAATATTAAACATTTTTGAATGGGAGCATGATAATACCAGAACTGATCGGGGAGTTGTATTGAGCATGGCTTATGGGGAAGCTTTGGTTGTAAGAAGAGAAATTAAAAAGGCCTTTCATACTTCCAGTGAGAAAGGATGGATGTCAAACCAGACTGGTGGTAATGGGAATTTTCAGTGTTCTTTGAAGGAAAATTTTAGGAGGATGAGATGGATACCGAGAACTACTTCAAGGGTATGTTACCCAGGCTCTGTTCTGACCAGGTGTCAAGGGAGGAAAAGAGAAAAGTAAAAACTGCCTGTGATCTCAAGCCTGGCTCATAGATATAAGTGAAAGCATTGTTTGAATAATAAAGCAAGGAAAAGAAGGAGGTTTATGGAGCAAAGAAATGGTCAGAAGACAACTAGAGGACATGGTACTGGAAAGGTGGTTTGGGGTCAGCCCTTCTGTGCGTGCGTGGCAGCTGGTTGCTCAAGTTCATTGCTCAGCTTTTCCTTCTGCATCTCTGTATATGCCATTTCTTCTACCCAGCTTCCTGATCTACTTATAAAACAATACTTCCAAGACCCTTCTCATGTGTTCTCTCTTCTGGCTGCTTATTTATGTAATGAATGTTGATTGTGTGATCACCATATGTCAGCACTAGGGCTACTATGGTAAGCTAGGCTCGCCCAACCATCTCTGCATCTCTCTCTGTAAGTATCACTTATTATAACCCTGTATTACAAAACTCAGCCCAGTGTGATGTTCACCTCTACAGTCAATAATAGTTGATCAGAATTACAAGTTTGGCAAACTCTCCCAGTACACTAGATCTTAAGTTCATCTTTGTGTTTCCCAGAGCAGACAGTAAGTATACAATAAATATTTGATCAACTAATGAATTATGCTATCAAATATTCAAATAGGTCTGCAATGATAACATTTTATTAAAATGATTACACTATTTTCAATGTTAAGACTTAGGGATGAAGCAAAATGGAGAGTCTCTGAAGTTCCTTAGCAAGTGAAAAGAAACAGTCAAAATTTCATTAGAGGAAACAGGCGGGTATAGCTGACATAGATCACCTTGCCCTGATTTTCCTCGTGAAAGTTCTTTGATATTTTTTGGTAGTGATTTGTTGCCCGATAGTTGAATGTGATGAGATTTGAGGAGTACACCCTGATGCTCCTGCCTTCTTATCTACCACTGGCAGATGTTTGAGATTTCACTGTCTCCAAAAACTCCATCCTCTCAGTGTAAGGCTTTGATCTGTGTTAAATGACAATATGCACAGATGGAGCCACAAGGTGAGAATGAAGGGAATAGGCTTGGAAGAAAGCATTTGAGTTCAACATGAAATTCAGGATGCAGCCTCTGGGAGTTTAAGTGAGTGTTTTTGTAGGTGGCTGAGACGCTTGAAGCAGAGAAGTGCAATAGGAGATGAAATGCCTTCACAATAGAAAAAGGAATTGCTAGAAATTGTCAGCCAACTCTCCTGTTTTTTCTTTTTTTCTATACCTGTCTTTCATTCTTCTTTTCCTCAGATCTTTCTTGTGAAAATAATATATAATCAGGCTTTGCCGTTGTTATTTTTATTTATTTTTTGAGACGGAGTCTTTCTCTGTTGCCAGGCTGGAGTGCAGTGGCGTGATCTTGGCTCACTGCAACCTCTGCCTCCTGGGTTCAAGCGATTCTCATGCCTCAGCCTCCAGAGTAGCTGGAATTACACACGTGCCAGTTAATTTTTGTATTTTTAGTAGAGACAGGGTTTCACCATGTTGTCCAGGCTGGTCTCAATCTCCTGACCTCGTGATCTACCTGCCTCGGCCTCCCAAAGTGCTGGGATTACGAGTGTGAGCCACTGTACCCAGCTGCAGTTGTCATTCTTATTTAGAAATTGGATGTTGTATAAATAAGGTCTCAGAAAAATACGTGTATCTCAGTCTTATTTTTTGCATTTGTTTTGTTAATATAGACATAAAAAATTGATAAAACCTCATTTCTATGCCCATTCACCAGAAAGTGAAGTGATTTTATCATAAAGAACGTCTTACTGTAATCATATTCCTGTATCAACCTATTCTAGCAAAGCTCGTAGTGTTATGTGCCTTTCTAGTGAATGCAAAACACATGCGTCACAAAATTTAGTCTTTGAAGAATATCTAAAGACACTAAGGGTATTATTTACATAAGACTTAAGAAAGTAATAACTCTTTAGAATGTGAGCAGAATGGGGGCAAGAATTTCTTTTTGTCCTTGTTGTATCTGCTGTGTTTAGAACAGTTCCTGATAGACTACAAGTACTTAACGAATATTTTTTGAATGAATGAATGAATGGTGTAGCTTTTGTGGGATAGCCTTGTGAAAAATACACTGTGGCGTGGGCACTGATGCAGAAGCCAGAACTCTGGTGTTCAGTCTCACTTCTGCTACCTACTCCGCTATGGGCCCTGGCATGAGGCCCTTGGTCTCCCTAAAATTCAGTACATTCATTTAACAAATGACTCTGTGTCAGATCATAAACTCCATGAAGCTAGAGACTGGGCCTGATTTGTTTCCTGCTGATTTGTTTCCTACCTATTACTACCTAGCATAACACCTGGAATACACAAAGGGAGAAAGTAAGTCATCTGTTGAGAGAATTAACTCATTTTTGTCATCTTAGTAGTGTTTTATGAGGTCTAAATGAGAACCGCTAAATGTGTTTTTAAACCGTATGATGAATTCAGATGAAGAGGGAGGATCTTGTATCAAACTACATTTCTTGTAGATAACAATCTTACCTGTTGGGAAAATCTTTCAAAATAGTTATTGGAAGGCATTGGAGAGCAAACAAAAGCAGCCAAAAGCTGGAGGGAAAGTCATCTCTGAAAGCAGGAATTGCAGGTGAGGAGGAGGGGAAACAGCCCTGGAAGGTGGAGGCGTTTGGAGGATGCTATACGCTGAGAGGAGGCCGGTGTGGCGGGAGAGGAGAAGAAAGCTGAGCTATGAGGCTGTGTGAGCCAAGAGGAGATTCCTGGTCTTTATCCCAGGTGCCAAGGAAAAGCTACAAAGAAGTTTAAGCAGCTGAGAATGGCAGTAGGGGTAGTTCCTGTTCTGAAAAGCTCTCCTGGCTGCAGCTGGGAAAAGTGCTTTGATGCAGGGTTCGATTGAGCAGCTTATGCAAGGGGATGCATCTTGCCTTCCTTATCTATTACTGCATGGCATGTTACCATACAAGAACACTCAGGTACTCTCTCACAGTTTCCCTAGGTTAGAAGTCTGAGCACAGCATAGCTGGGTTCTCTACTCTGGGTCTCTCTGGGCTGAAATCAATGTGTTGGCCAGGCTGTACTCTCATCTGGAGCTCAGGTCATCTTCTAAGCTTATTCAGGTCATTGGGAGAGTTTGATTCCTTGTGGTTGTAGGACTGAGGTCCCTGCTTTCTTGCTGACTATTGGCCAGGACTTGCTCTCAGCTCCTAGAAGCTCCCAGCCACATAGCCCTCTCAAAACCTGACAGCTGACTTTTCAATGTTAGCTGGAGAATCTTTCCCTAGTCTGTTAGGAAAGAATCTTTGAGAAGGTGATGTATTTTCCTAGATCCAGCCCAAGGGGAGGGGAGCATACAGAGAGTGAACAGCAGGGTGTGGAAAGCCTGAGAACTACCTTAGAATCTGTGTGCCATCATTTCAACATGGTATACATTTAACTATTTCCAGGGCCCAGATCTGCCTTAGGGGTGAGACCACTGAGTATGATGTCCTTTGGTACTCTGCTCTGTTCGGTAAGCCCTTGGGATGGAGTCCTGTATAGGTCACCCCCAGCCAAGCAGATGCCCTTCTTTCTTACTGGTACATTTCCTTGTAGAGTAGTGAGCTATGACCATGTCATTTGGCTTTGTTGAGAGTAAGGCAGCATTCATGACAATAGTTCACTTTATATAATTGGCTCCTTATCACTTTGGCAAAATGTAACTTTTGGTTTGAAAAGAAGCCACCCTAGCTGAACATAATGGGATTAAAATACTTGTTTTTCAATTTGTGTGTATGGATAAAGTTCTATAAAACACAACGCTGTGCCAAAAAGTGCAGCACTTGAAAAAGTTACAATAGCTGGCTTCTGTTTTCATAATGTAATTTCAACTAGATTTCCTTTAGCCAGCCTAAGTGTGTTTTGGCTTGCTTAAACTCAAATCGCTCTGCGTTTTCTCCAAAAAGAGACAGCCCTGCTGCAGTCTTCCTGGCATTCTATTTGATTAAGACACTTTCGGGGGTGCTGTTCCTTTGGCTTTTATGGATGTGAGGGCAATGAAAAGAAAATTGACTCACTTACCTCCCACCTCATCTTCCTTTGATTTGTTTACTTCTATTTTCCATTCCATTTATTATTGGTAGAGTGCATGTTTCCATAGCTTCTGCATATTTTACAAAACTAAATAAACAGCTCTTCCTCCTGGAATAGGGGAACAGTGCTGGTTAAACCAGGGGTCACTCACTTCTCAGCTGGTCATGCATCCTCCATGTCCTTCGGGATTTGGTCCAGGAGGAAACCAGGAGTAGTGTGAGGGGGAGGAATCAGAGGAACAGAAGGAGGTGACACTGGAGAGGGAAAACCTGCTAGCCAAGCCTGGGCATGGAAGGGGGTTGGGTGGGAGAAGGGGTCTCCTTTAGTCATTCAAGCAGAGCACCCCAAGCAACCCTGACAGTGGTGCTATATTCAAGTTCAAATTTACAACTCTCCCTTAGTTAGCTCCAGGGATTAACTCCAATCTCCTGGGAACTCTTAATTTGCAAGCATTTATTTATTTATTTATTTATTTATTTGCAAAAGAAGGGCTTGGCAATGGGCCTTCCTTTGACGTAGGAGAACTGGAAATATTTCTTTTTTTCTCGAAGTGGTAAAGAACAAACGGGAACAACATCATTAACTACACAGTACCTAGACATGCCCAAACCATGTATGTTTATGAATTTTCAGTAATGCCTGTTGCCCTCCCTATTCATCCCATTGCTCTCTTCCAAACACATAATGCTGTCTGAAACGCTTGAAAGACAAAGGTGCAGCGTGCTGTGTTGACCCTGGCCCTCGAGGCCTCCAGAGTTCTCTGCAGTAAACACATGGGCTGAGAAGCACTTTTCCGTGGGCTATAAATCTCTGTAAGTGCTGCTGGTGCTCAACTCCGGTCTCTGCTGGAAGCCACAGTTGCGGGGGAGACACTTTCCCACTTTCACTGCTTGGGAAGGGTCAGAGATTTCCCCCTGGAGCTGCCTCTCCCCTTTGACCATGATAAATGGCAAATGACACTCTTTCTAGGCAGCAACCTGCCTCCGATTTTCCCACCAATACCTGGAGACTTCCTTCCTAAGGCTGACCGCCAAGTGGCCCACCAGACCCGCCTGGCTGCCAAGTGGGAGCAAACACAGGATGTTATTTCTGTTCTTAGAGGACCAGGTTCACACACCACAGCCAGGAGTGTGGGAAGGGAGAGGAAAGGCTTCCTCTCTGGCAACCAGTGCTAGCCCAGTGGGAGTACCGTTTTCCTAGTGGGAATGAATGGGTTAGTCTGAGGCCCTGGGCTCCTACTCAGTCCTCTAAAGGAGAG